CCCCCACCTCAGGGCCTGGAGGGCCAGCCTCTTCTCATCTTGGGTGATTTGTTGCTCAGCTGTGTCCGACTCTTTGCAACCCCATGGACTGTAGCCCACCAGGTTCCTCTGTCCATGGGATTCTCCAGACAAGAATACTGGCTGGGGTGCCATGCCCTCCACCAGGGGATCTTCCCAATCCAGGGATCAGACCCAGGTCTCCCACATTGCAGGCAGATTCTTTACTGTCTGAGCCACCACCAGGGAATCTTCTCATCTTAGCCCTTCCCACTCCTGCTCTCTGAACCACACCCCCCTGGCTCTGCACCCTCAGTTCTGACGTCCGCTGTTTTCCTCCTCCCTCCATGAACTCCCCACCTGGGCGCCACCTGATGGGGCTGCCCTGCTCCTCTTGGCAGGCAGGTCCACGGAGGGATGAGAAAGAGAAGTCGTCGTGCTGTTTTTCTTGTCCACCTCAAGGCCACCATGCCCCCAGAGGACCCAGTCAAGTGGCCAATGTCAGGTTTTGCTGAGAGAAGCCTGTCCCTCTGCACACAACCGAGAACCAAGGCAGGATGGGCCCCCTGCCAGCCCTCCCCTGGAAGCAGGGCCCCTGAAGAGGCTGTGTTCACCCTTCAAGTCTCAGGCAGGGTGAAGGGACCAGCGCTCCAGGCCCTGACTCAATGCCTACCAACCCCACTGCAGGGAAAAGCTCCTGGATGCAGAGCAAACCACCCCCCACCCCCGGCCCCAACCACTGCATATTCTTTCCCTGAACCAGACCTCAGAAGGAGAAAACGCTGGTCTTTCAGCTCAAGGTCAGTGATTTTCAAACTTATTCCCAAATTAAGCCACTGTGGAGGGGGAGAAGGGAAGGGAGACCTGGGGCAAATCCAGGAACTAACGGTCCCCCACATCAGCCACGTTAGTTATACATGTTTTACATGTATAACTATACATGTTTTGTAAACTGGGGCTTCTGGTAAAATTATTTTTTTAAATAACATTTTTTTAAACATTAAATTTTAATTTAACATTTAAAAAATGCTAAACAATTAATTAAAATTTAAAAATAAATTAATTTATTTTTATTTGGCTGCATTGGGTCTTCGTTGCTCTCACAGGGACTCTCTAGTAGAGGTGCAGGCTCCAGAGTGCACAGGCTCAGTAACTGCAACTCTTGGGCTTAGCTGCTCTGACGCATGTGGGATCTTACTTCCCCAACCACAATCAAACCCACGTCCCTTATCGGAAGGCAGATTTTTAACCATGGGACCACCAAGGAAGTCCTTAAAATTCTTCTTTTAAAGGATGCCTTGGTGAAAATACTCCCACCTGTATGCATTTGGAACCCATGGACAGGTCCACGTGTTGAGGACTTGTTCTCCTGCATAAAGACTCCCTGGGTTCAGCTTTCCCAGCCCTGCTCCCTTAGCTTTCATTCCTGTACTGTCATTCCACCTGAGACTTTATGTCCTGGTACTGCCTGACCCTCTCTCCAGGGGTCTCCATATCAGAATCCCCACAGCACCTCCTAACACCACCTGGGCTGAGGATCACATGGCCCATTTTACAGATGAGATCACTGAGGCCCAGAGGCAGCAGAACCTAAAATGGATGCTGGGAGTCTGACTTTGGATGCTGGCCCTCGGCGGGCTCCTACTGAGGCCCCAACCCCAGGTCCCTGCCAGGATCCCCATCTGGGCCACCAGAGTCCCAAGTCTTAGGACGGATTGACTCCTGCTGGAAGTCTGCCTCAGAGCTGGAGGCCATGCTCTGATCAGAGCAGCCCAGACTGGCCTGTGCAGAGAAGCATGTCATCTCTGGGGTCTCGGCCCTGGAGTCCAATCCCTGGGTGGCCTCCTCCCAGCAGCACCCAGGGGCTCACTGCCTGTCATCTGTTACACAGCAGGAGAGACATGCTGGGGAACACTTCCAGCTGAGATGGATGCCCAATCAAAGCCAAGAGGAGAGGTAGAGCCCTACACACAGCAGCCTACTGAGAACCCATGCAGCTCAAGGGCCCCGTCAGCCTCCAATCACCCTTTGCTGGGCATCAGAATCAAAACCACAGATGCTCAGATGGAACTCACTGAAGTTCAGCTGGCTCAGGGTGAGCCCTGGGCCTGAGGATTGTTTGAAAGCTGCCCGGGTGAGGTTTTGGACAGCCAAGGTTGAGAACTACCATCTGGTTCAACTTTTCCCCTCTACAGAGGAGAAAACTGAGGCCCACAGGAAAGGGCTGGTGACACCTTAGGATCAGGATCCAAGACCTACAACCTAGGACTAGGACCCGGGAGCCAGGAGTTTCTGCACCCTCAAACCATTACCCCCCACAATATTCAGACCTGGGTCATGACATGTACAAGGGAGAGGGGAGAACATACACTCGGGCTCCTGGCCCTGGCAGGAAACTCTGGCCTTCACTCCTGTTCTCCTGGACTCTTTTCTGTGAGTCACACAGTGGGAAGGTGACTCGAGGTAGGCAAACACAGCTGTGTCAGCCTCAGTGAGCAGTTTTGAGCACCTACTGTATGCAGACACTCTTGCTAAATTCTTTGCTGGCTTTTTCATTTAGAAGATCTGCAGGTTTCTGGCCAAAACTGTTCCACTTTCCCCAAGAGAAATAGGAAGCTGCTGTCCATCGCTGGATGAACTGGATAAAGAAAATGTGCTTTACGTATGTGGAATGAAACATTCCATTGCATTGGAATATTATTCAGCCATAAAAAGGACATCCTGTCGTTTTCCACAACGTGGATGGATCTTGAGGTTATTAGGCTAAGTGAAATAAGTCAGATGGAGAAAGATAAATGCTGTGTCATTTCACTTACATGCGGAATCTAAACCCATCAAACTCATAGAAACAGAGAGTAGAAGGAGGGTTTCAGGGCCTGAGGAGTGGGGTAAACAGGAAGAGTCGGTCAACAGGTACAAACTTTCGGTTATAAAATGATGAAGTCCCAGAGATGTGATGCACAACATGGTGAGTTACAGTCAATAATACCGTATTGTGTACTTAAAAATTGGCTGAAGGAGTAGATCTTAAATGTTCTCACCATAACAATGACAACAACAAAATGGTATTTATGGGAGGTGAAAGACATGTTACGGGAGATGAAAGATGTGTTAACTAACCTTATTGCGGTAAACACCTTATGGTATATGGGTGCATCAAATCAACATACTGTGCACTTAAAACCTACAATGTTTTTTAATTTTTTATTTTACACTGGAGTTGACTGTGAAGAAAGCTGAGCACTGAAAAATTGATGGTTTTGAACTGTGTTGTTGGAGAAGACTGCAAGGAGATCCAACCAGTCCAACCTAAAGGAGATCAGTCCTGGGTGTTCATTGGAAGGACTGATGCTGAAGATGGAATTCCAGTACTTTGGCCACGTCATGCGAAGTGTTGACTCACTGGAAAAGACCCTGATGCTGGGAGGGATTGAGGGCAGGAGGAGAAGGGGACAACAGAGGATGAGATGGTTGGATGGCATCACTGACTCAATGGACATGGATTTGAGTAGACTCCGGGAGTTGGTGATGGACAGGGAGGCCTGGCGTGCTGCGACTCATGGGGTTGCAAAAAGTCAGACACAACTGAGTGACTGAACTGAACTGAACTGATAGCCAGTTAACAATACTGTGACAGTTGCAGGCGGACAGCAAAGGGATTCAGCCAAACATATACATGTATCCATTCTCCCTCAAACTCCCCTCCCACGATGACTGCCACATAACACTGAGCAGAGTTCCCTGGGCTACAGGAGGTCCTTGGTGGTTATCCACTTTAAATACAGTGGGCACATGTCAGTCTCAAAGTCCCTAACTATCCCATCCCTCTCCCCTTCCTCCTTGGTAACCATTGGTTCAAAACTTACACTATATTATATGTCAGTTATATCAATAAAGATGGAGAAGGGAATGTAAGTAAGCTGGGTTTCCCCTACTTTAGTAGTCACGTCCTGTTTAATAAAATCCAAAAAGGCCTTGCTTGAAATTTCTGTCTAACAAGGAAAGAGCTTCCATTCTTACTCTAGGCAGGCAGCTCCTGGTCCCCGCCTGGCCTGAGCTGTGGTGGGCATGCTGCAGAGAGTTCAGTCAGGACACATGAGTTCTAGGCCCATCTCTGCCATCACGTGCCCAGGGTCAAGTCATTCTCCTTCTCTGAGCCTCGGTGTCACTATTCATTAAATAGTGGGGTAAACGCCATCAGGATATTCAAATTTGCTTTGTGCAAGCCAACGCTTTCTTCCCATAAAACTGCACATGGGTTACACAGCTTATCACGGATCCAGTAAAAGCAGCAGCTGGATTCTCAGAATGGGCATATACAGCCTTTCCACCCGACTAACCACCCCCCACCCCCACCCCAAGGAAGCTCCCCAGAATTCCCCGAAACTTCACTCTGCTTGGCCAATAAGGTTGCCTTTGGTTCTGTCACCTGGAATTGATGGGGGACAGGGGAGACGGGGTGGTGGTAAGGTATCTGAACAGCGGGGTCCAGCATTCCTCTTTCCTAGAACAGAGAAAGCAATTTCTTACCCATCTGGCATGACTCAATAGCTAAAGAGATAGCATGAGAGGGAGTAGCCGTGCAGGCCGGTGGCTCCAGGGCACGGGGAGGGGACATCATGCGGGCATGGGGGGCCTGGTAGCACCTCAGCTCAGAATCAGATTTCCCCTTCTCTCCAGGATGCGGGCCAGAGGGTCCCACTGGTAGTTCCTTGTGACTTTTTGATCTATTTCCTAACCTGTGAAATAAGCACATCAGGGTTGTTGGGAGGGTTGGCCAAAAAGTTCATCAGGGTTTTTCCATAACATCTTGCAGAAAAACCCAAATGGACTTTCTGGCCAACTCAATAGAAAGCATGCAAAGGGCGCGGAGCAGGGCCCAGCACATCCCCGGCAGTTACTACTTGTTAACTGTGGTTTTCTGTGTTGTTATTTTTCGGCCTTGCGGTTTGTACGCGCCTTTGATTGGGTGGGGGCAGGGGAGCGTCATCTAATTCTTAGAGCTGGTGGAAACGGTGGAAACCTCCTTTGAGAGATAAAGAAAGTGAGTCTCAGAGAAAGAAAAGGGCCTTGTGCAAATTCACGTGGTGAGTCAGAATCGAGCTGGGTCTCCGCGGAGGACTCCAGCCTCCCTCCCTCCCGGGAGGCCTCCGCGCAGGAAGAGCGCGCACCGCCCGTTTCCCCCTCGGCTCAGGCCCTTTGGCCTGACTCGTCCGCCCACAGGCCCTCCGCCCACCCGGCGGCGGGGAAACCGCGGACCCCTAGGGCGGCCTTGGGTTCCTGAGGCCCCCTTCGGCCTCTCCCTCAGAGCACACCCTCCCTTCCCTGCCCAACCAGGGCCTGTAATTGCGCTAACTGCCCCCTGGGGAAGGAGAGCCTCAGCTTCATCCACATGAGTCAGGTTTCCAGGGCAGAAACCACATCGAACAGCCTCAGCCTCGTCACCGCTCCCCACAAACCACTTCCTGCCCCTTTCCTGGCACCGCCAGCCTGAGGCTCGTGGCAGCTGCCGGGCCTTGGTCTCTGCTGCTCCAGTCCTAGCCGACTGCAAACCCAGCCACACACACCCGCTGCCCCCACCCCAGAAGCAGGAATCTGTCTGTCCAGGTGGAAGGGCCATGGGCTGGGTCAGGAAGGCAGTGGGAAGTCCCCCCAGGGTAATCTAAGCCCTGGCTGTTCCTGACTTCTCAGTCACTGTCTGTAATTTGTTCAAGCAGCCTCATGTCTCCCACTGCAGCAGGAGACAGAGACGCAGGGCTGGCTGCCCCCTGCCCGTCCACCCAGGGCTGTGGCCCAGCTATGCCCATCTCTCCACAGGAGGTTGTAGGGAGAACAGAAAGAGCACAGGCTTTGGAAGCAGACCAATCTAGGTTTGGATTCCAGTCTTGCCATTGCCTTACTGTGGCTTGATCGGGGACTTCATCTTTCTTAGCCTCAGTTTTCCCACCTATAAAATGGACAGCATAGCATCACTTCTTCCAGATGTGTCAGGAGGAATGACTGAGCTAATACACACAGAAGCCTACAAAGCACACTGTATATAGTAGATGCTCAATAACTGCTCGTGTCCTTCGTCCACCATAGCAGCTCTGGTGAAGCGATGACCGGCGGCCCAGTGTCAGGAAGAGTCCTCCAGTGGGAATCAAGAAGCTGGATCCAACCCTGGTGCTGCCTCTGACTTTCTGTGTGGCCTTAGGCCAGCTGGACAGCCTCTCTGGTCCTCAGTTTTCTTGGGCCTAAGTATGAGGATGGGTTAGATGGTTTCCAAGGTCTCTCTGACACACCTGGGGGCTTGCTAATAGGACAGTGACCCTGGGCAAGGGGGACGGTGAGTGGAACAAGGTTATTACCATCGTCGGGGCGATGGTTCAGCTTACTGGTGACAGTGACGCAGGGCTGGGGATTTGAGCTCTCTCAGATGGTGCCAGGAGATGGCCCCCAGGACATACATCTGCCAGGTTGGGGGCAGATCATCCTGCACTCAGGATAGGTAAGCTCCCAGCACCTCCCTCCACCTGGTCAGCCTCACCTGCCGCTCTCTGGAGTCACTCCCAGTGCGTGGGGCACCAAAGAGCCCACAAAAAACTAAGGCTTGTCTCTGCCTTTAGGGAGCTCTGCTGGGCAAGGACAGACTTCCAGGAGCTTTTGCTGGGGAAGACAGACTTCTCAATGCGTGATCAATAACTGTATTAATAAGAGACATCATGATACTTATTCACTGATTACCCCAGAGCACACCCTGTGTTAAACCCTTAATGAGCATCATCTCATTTATTTCCCCGTGACAACCCCAGTGAGGTCATCATTACCATTATTTCTGCTCTACAGGGAAACAAACTGCAGAGAGATTGCGTTCCCTGGCTCCAGGGCATGCAGCAGTATGCGCCAGGCTCAGGCTAGGGTGCCCTGACAGAGCAGAAGTGTGAAGAAGATGCCAAGGGGCCCAGAGGAGAGGCCTCCTCCTGTCCTTTGGGGGTTTGGGAACTTGGCCCAGAGGTGGGGCGTTGGAGTCAGTACAAGCTCCCACTTACCAGGCACTTGCCAACATCATGCACTTCTCAGACTTTAGGTAAGGGTCCCATTCAGGCCACCCGTCCCACCCCTCCACCAGGTGCTACTATTATTCCTGTTATAAGGAGGGCACAGAGAGGTCAACGCCTTTGGCATTGGGGAGCGGGGGAGCAGGGGGCCCAACAGAGGGAGCAGCTTAGAATAAACGTGCTCAGGAAAGAGCAGGCATAGCTGAAGCCTTAGGTGCTGGGAACAGCGGCTAGACAGGTAGGTGAGGCCAGGTTCTGAGCCTCCACCCGAGCACATAACACCCTGGCCACAGGGGACCCAGGTCCTCACCTCACATCAGAGCTTAGTGTTGGAGCCTCAGAGCCTCCCCCTCCTGCAGCTCTCAGGAGGGGGCCATTACCCATCCTGTCTGTGACACAGACTCTGAGTAAGCAAACAGATCATGGGGCTCCTAATCCCATCACACCCAGAAAGCTGGGGAGAGGCTGGGGTGATGGGCCTGGAATCTGTGCCCTCCGGGAGAGACGGGGAAACCTCATTCCACCCTCCTTCTCAAACCAGTAAAGCAGAATGCCTGGGTGATTCATTTTTCTTGAAGACACAAAATAAACACAGCCTGAGAAGAGATTTGGTCTTTGTTCCCCAGGATGAAAGACTGTTGGAAAGCAGGGTTGAAAATGCTGAAACCCAGGGTTGGCAAACAGAAAATTAGCGGCAGATTAATTTCACTGTCTCACTGGGGAGTGGAATCTTGTACATTAAGTACAGGATTAAAGGGAATTAATTTCCCATCTCACCAGGCCTGGAGGGAATTCACAAGAGTTCTGTGCCTCTGGGGGACAGGGAGGTCAGTTCCAGTGGAGGAGAGGCAAGGTTTGTCCCAGGGGTTGTGAGGTGGGTCAGGACAGGCTGTGGGGTCCCATGCCCCTGACAAATGGGAGGGAAGCACTGGCCTTTCATAAAATTGGAGCCTCTGTAGTCATGACCCCTCTAGGTGCCTTTCCAGCCCTGCAAGGTCATATTCAGAACCATTCTACCCTATTTACAAGCCCTCTATGTACCAATTCTGTCCTTCCTTCCTTACAATAATTAATCTTTATAAGGTGATTACTAAATGCCAGCACTTTTCTTTAAAGAATCAATCAGTTTCTCCTTGCAAAAAACCCAAGAGGAATTACTATTATCATCCCCATTTTACAGATAAGAAAACTGAGGCAGAGAGAAGCAAACTGGTAGCACTGGTAAACAGCAGAGCCAGGATTTGACTCCACACTGTATGGAAACTGAGTCTTGTGCTCTTCACTCCAGCCTCTCCAAGGACAGGGAGCAGGTCAGTGGAGCAGGCCTGACCTATGTGGTGCTGTCTGGGCTATTCCTGGTCCCTGCCGCAGTGGCCAGTCTCAGAGGGAGCCCCGCCCTGCCCACATCCCTCATGAGATTCTGGCCAAACTGGAATCATCTTGGGCAAGGAAGGTTGTAGCTGGGCCTGATGTGGTGGCCCTGGGCTGCAGCTGGTACAGGTGGAGAGAAAGCCAGACCCAGCAGAGGGATCCGCCCACCCACAGCGTCAGCCGTGGCCGGCACTGGGTGGTACTGCTGCCTTCACTGTGGGGAGGGTGGGGTGGAACAGCCCAGGGCCAGCCAGACCTCAAATGGCAGGCTGCTCCAGCTGCCTCCTAGACCTGCGGTTAGGACATGGACCCAGAGAAGGCTAATCTAAAGGAAGGAAAGACTATGGCTTGCCAGCTCACTGCAGCCCAAACCACAGTGTGGCAGAGACAGGAAAGGTTTGATAAGACTCCCCGCTGGGGGCAGGGATGCATGAGTGGGTTCTGGAAGGACCTGTCTCTAGTCCTCACTCAGGCATGGCAAATAGCCTTCAACTTGCAGGTCAGCGCCAATCAGGTGGCTGGAGAATTTGCCCACAGTGTCGAGAGTCATATTCTGGCTCAGCAGAGGAGAGGTCTGTGATTGAATAGCGATGTCTGCGATGGGTGAAGCATCAGAGAGTGGCAGCGTGGCCATGGTATGTGAACGATCCCTGTTAGCTCTATCATATGGCACCTAGGATCCGCTCCAACACTTTTACGTCCCACTCCTCTCCCATCCCTCTCACCTCCAGCCACTCCCAAGTGATTAAGGCTCTCCAACCACATCCTTGAAAACAATACATTACTATATGCTTCTGGCAGCCTTTGTACATCGTGTTCCCAATGCCTCCATCTTCGACTGCCTGATGAGCTCATTTTCATCCTTCAAAACTCTGTCCTGGCATCACTGCCCTGATCTTTACCTTCACGGAGTTCATCACGTTCCCTTGTGTACATCATGATCCACAGAACTGATGTTGCTGAGTAACTCCCAGGCCCAGTGGGGCATCAGCTGCACCACTATTTAGACATCCTGCCTTACGTCCTAAAATGATCCCACTATACACACGGGGACCTGATGCTGAATGATCTTAGGAATTTTCCCCAGGTGCCCAGCTGGGCCGTGTTGGAACTGAGATCTGACCCCAGCTTATCCAAGCCCAAAGCCCATATTTTAATCATCATGCTGTGATCTGGCTGTTGCCTTCTCTCTTTATACCACACCGAGGTATAATCTTTTATTCATTGTCTGTCTCCCTTTCTAAACAGTTCCTTCTGTTTATGGCTTCAGGTCAGAAGCCATGTCTCTCTCCCACATCCTCGGCAGCTAGCCCAGGGCCCACCACACAGGAGACATTCAATAAATGTTGGTTGAACTGGATCTGACAAAAACGGTGGAGAGTTTACTTATTCTGTCCCCTCTCCTCGTGTCCCAATCCTCATCCAGGGACTGGCCTCAGCCCTGCCTGTCTGATCCAGGCATTAGCCACTCCATGTGTCCCACTCTTTGCGACCCCATGGACTGTAGCCCACCAGATTCCTCTGTCTGTGGAATTCACCAGACAAGAATACTGGAGTGGGTTGCCATTTGGGTTCTTCCTGACCCAGGGATTGAACCCCTGTCTCCCTCATTGCAGGCAGATTCTTTACAGCCTGAGCCTCCAAAGAAGCCCTGTCTGATCCAGGCAGTGGATGTT